CAGCTCAGCCCACCCGGGGGCGGGGCTGGCTGGCATGTGGTGCTGGGGATTTGAACCGCGGTCCCTCTGCTTTGCCAAGCTTGTTCTAAATAGGTGCTTTAGACCACTGAGCCATCTCTCCAGCCCCGTCTTTTTCCTTTTTCATGTTCACAAACGACGTGGAGCGTGCCGAGGTTGTACAGAGTAGGTCTTTTGTTTCCAAAGCCACCTATAAAAGCCATGGAAGAGTGAAAAAGCAAACACAACCTCCACGGTGACTTAATGTGGACAACTGCTTCAAGCAAACTTCAAAGCTTGATAATCAGGCATCTAAGTGTGAAAACAGAAACTATTAAGGAAGCATGCTATAATTCATACAGTGGCAATCCTGAGGTAGACAGGATACTAAACAAAACTGGGGTTTGCACCGATGAACTTTTGCTAATTGGCTTAGCCTAATCCATAGCATATGACTCCAATTTTATCCACGTTAGGTATCAAAAATTCACTGGTCACATACTTGCCTCCCAGAGAAAATGTGTGGAAAAGAAGGCAGGATAAGGGGCGGGGCGGGCAGTCCAAGTACTAGGCAGCAGCGGAAAAGGCAAACTGGGATCTCAGCACGCGCATGCGCTCGAGCAGCACAAGCAGATGCGTCTGAGACTTGGTTTCCTGACCCGAACTTGGGTTTGACAGCGCGTGGGGAGCCCAGGTGAGAGGGAGGTGAAAGCACTCTGCGAACAGAGCAAGCCACGCACTGAGCCAGGACAGAGCTGGCCGCAGCCCAGCTTTTGCCTCTGACCCCAGCCTGCGGGCCCGTGGAGCAGCTGGGGCTGTGTCGTGGGAGGTGGGCTTCGCTGTGTGCTCAGCTCTCTCCATCACCCTGTGTGTGGAAGGTGACAGCAACAGCACAACCAGTTCGCACCGACTGAAAGCACAGTGCAAATAGGTAGGCATATTTAATCAAACTGAACCTTAAAATTTTTTAGAATACCTTATTATAAGAACAATAAGGGCTAGAGATAAGTTCAGGGGTAAAGTGCCTGCCTGGCAAGTGTAAGTCCTGAGTTCAATCCCTGGTACTGAAAATAAACAAACAAACAAACAAAAAAAAAAAAAAAAAAAAAACATAGGTAAAATTTTAAATTTGAGATATATAGACTTAGGACCCTCACATCATGTAAACAAGAGCTCCAAACAGACTAGAGACCTAAATTTAAAAAGCAAAACTTTGATATGCTTGAGAGAAAGGTAGAGAAGCCTTTCTTATAGAAAAACTACAAATTTGAACATAAAAGATAGGTAAATTTGGTCACAGTAAAAATCAAAACTCCTCACATTAAAATATGAAGAATGCCTACAAATTTATTTTTAAAAATGCAAATAGTCCAGTAGAAAATGAGCAAAATATATGAACAGGTACTTCACAGAGTAAGAATCACAAATATTTAGGTAACATATGAAAAGATACTCAAACCCACTTAAAGAAACCATGAGGCCAGCCAGATAGCTCAGTGGACTAAAGTACCTGCATAGGTAGACACAGGGACCATGATTCGATTCTCAGCATGCTGTGTGGACCCCACCCCTGGGATGTACTAAGAAGGTGATTGAGACTGGGTGTGGTGGCACGCGCCTGTGATCCCAGTGCTTGGGAGGCTGAAAACAGGAGGATCACTACAAGTCTGATCTGTGTGGTGAGACCCTGTATTTAATACAAGAAAGAAAGAAAGAAAGAAAGAAAGAAAGAAAGAAAGAAGCAGAGGCTGGGGAGATAGCTCAGCAGTCTAATCACCTGCCTGGCAAGCACAAGGACTTGGGTTTGATCCCCAATACTGCATGCCCTGCTAGCCCCGGAACCCCAGGTACGCTGCACCTGCCAACAAAACTGGGTGTGTTGGTGCATGCCTTTAATCCCAGCACTGGGGAGGCTGAGACAGGAGGATCACTATGAGTCTGAGCTGTGTATTGAGACCCTGTATCCAATAAATAAAATCTGAAAAAAGAGCTTTGCATCCCTGTGATTAGGAAAGGTAAGAAGCCTGTGGACATCAAATGCTGGCAAGAATGTGGAAAATCAGAAATGTGTGTGTCATGGTAACCGCATGCTAACAGCCTGAACTGGTTGAAAGCGCCTGGGCGGTCTGGTAAGGTTGAAGAGGTGAACGCCAGCCAAGCGTACAGTCAGGCTCGGGGGCTTGTACCTCAGAGGTGACCTTGTGTATGTGTGAAAGACACACATAGAAGGATGGTAAGGCACTGCCACTTTCCTATTGTTATAAAATTCTGTTTACCTTTTTTCAATTAAAAAAAAAACAGTAATAGACCAGGGTGTACAATTCAGGAGTAGAGCTCTTGCTCAGCATATGTGAGGCCCTGAGTTCCCCAGCACCACACATACACACAAAAAAGAAAAAGACAAAAACAATGAGCATAGAAAGTGTTAATAGGGCTGGGGAGATGGCTCAGTGGAATAAGCGCTTCCCTGGCAAGTGCAAGGGCCTGAGTTCAATCCCTGGTTCCGCCAAAAAAAAAAAAAAAAAGAAAGAAAGTGTTTATAGTAATAAAGCAATTCACACATTCACCTTCCTGAGGATGGATAGCTAGCAAAAAATTAGAGAAGCATTATGCACGAGGAAGTTTAAAATGAGATTGGCGCTTCACG